AAAAAAAAACACTGCATCTTGTTAAAGTGACACGAAGTAAGAAGATTTTTTCGTTTTTCCAGTAACATGTATCGTATACCAAACTTCAAACTTCACTGTACAGATCGCAAAACCGTAATCGCATTGCGCTTATGGTTTTTGTGCGAAACCGTACTGAAAAATTTTCAAATTAATATTTTGATGAGCATTTTGTAGCATAAATTCCTAACGAGCATTAAACATGTTCTCACACGAATCCGTTTTTACCTTTGAGCTCTGGAAATCGAGCGATAAGGGAAGACCCACTCGTTTTGAACTCGCTTTGTTTTTTTGAAGTGCGCAATCATAGATTGGCTAAGTGTTCTTGAAAAGGGAAACATACGTAAAAATTTGGAAGAAAAGAGATTTCAATTGATATAAGCAATAATGAGAAACATCATTCCTATCAAAACTAGCAATTCAAAAAGAGAAAAAAAGGCAGAACTTGAAACAACATAGTATGTTGATTTCATGAATATTTTTAATACCATGATATCGCGCTTTGAGGGCAGTGACAGTGTGCCAGACCCGAGCACTAGCTTCCTCGCGTTAAGAGAAGCTATGTGGCGAAAAATCCAAACCGCAATGCAGCATGACAGCACCCTTGTTGGCTTTTACAACGAACAGTTTCTAGCGAGACAGCGCGAAGGTATATCCTTCCCAACTTTGTAATCTTGTTCATCTCTCTAATGTGAACGTTTAGATCCAAACCTCACATATGACCAGTGGCTGGACATCAAAGTGCGGGAGGAGATTGAAACGAAGAAATTTGAAGAGGCCGGTGGAGCCTACGGTCTGGATGTTGCTGCGCCTTTCCAGATCCGTGTCGAAGGTAACATTGCCCAAAAAGTCGCCTTCAAAGATTGAAGATTTTCAAATCCCTTCGCATTCCGATCTTTCTCACTGATATTCTAACATCACAGTAGTGCTTGGGTTGAATGCAGGACCACTTTATTTTCCACACTCGGGTTGAGGTCGTACTTATTTTATCTCGTCCGCTCACCCAGGTTATTTTTTGAAGCTTGCGATTTAAACCTTTCAACATGAATTCAACGAAAAGGCCAGAGATCATCAGTCATCCAATCGTTTTTCCAAAGCAGTGCTCGGAAAAAGCCTGAGGATTTCGGTACATCGCCTCAAGTATTTCTTAACACTATTTGCAAACCTCTTCTCCACGACAAGACGTTTCAAGTAAAAAGTCTTTATCCTGTGACAGCGACTTCATCTCTCATAATGAAGCGTGTCGAAACACCTCTAGAGTATATGGTAGTCCTGCGTGCAGGCTGCTTCTTAATCAGTGGCGTATCCAGAATTCCAGTTCGGGGGG